TTGTAACAGCCTACTGGACATGCTGCAGTGTCTTCTAGGGTATTTTTAAAAGTTGCCTCCTATAGTATTAGTTTTCTGATGTTGGTAAATTTCCATCGAATTTTAAAATAAGTAATGGTCCACAACTATGCATGAAAACATTTCAAAACTAGACCCACCCTACCACATTCCTTGATTTATCTCCTGCGTCCATGAGCTTCCTAAATTATTTCCCCATGTTACCCTGACCTTTCCCCACAACACATAATCCAGTCCATGCTAACAGCACCTTTCTGGTATGGCTGCCTTGTGGGAGAATTTTGAGTAGCTAATAGCACAAGATCATTTGGTGGAAACCATTAAAATGAATAGAGAGGAAAAATGTAAAAAAAAAAATCATATATAGCGTAACACTATAAAACGATTGTCATCAAAACTGAAGATCAAGAAAATAAATATCAGCTAGTTACAAGAAAGTTTCAGTCACTTGGAGAACAATAGTTTCACACACACATGCACACACACACACACACACACACACACACACACACACACACAAGCCTGCACTGTAGAGCAACCATGGCCAGCAGCCTCTCTACCATGAAAAGGTCCCCATCTGTCTTCTCTGACACAGCATTGGAAGCACAGGCTGCTGACCATTCTAAGTGCTGTTACTGTGACGAGGAGGTGAGTTTTAATTTTATAAAATGTTAATTTAAATTCAATTGTAGAGCCTGGGATATAGGTCAGTGGCACAGCACTTGCCTACACTTGTGAGGTTGTAAGTTTGATTCCCAATACCAATAAATTAATTTCTTAATTCAATTGAAATATTTCCAGAAACTATTCCTTACTATCAGGAAGAATTATTTTATGCTCTTTATAAACAAGTTCAAAACAGAAAGATATTTAAAAATCAATAGATAGTATTGAAAGACAAAAACTGAGCTGGAAAAGCAAAAAACAAACTTAAAGATAATAAAATAATTACAGAGGCTAAAACTAATCAGAAGCTGGGTGAGATGGCACATGCCTGTAATCCCAGCACTTGGAAGGCTGGGGCAGGAAGATCACCACCATTTTGAGACCAGCCTGGGATACATAGTGAGAACCCAGCAAAAACAAACCAACCAACCAACAAACAGCCTAACTGAAACAGTAAGAAAAAATGGAGATGCAGACTTAGGGATATAAAAAACACTTTAGAAAATAACACAGACTAAGAGAAAGAAATAGAAGAAAGTAAGCACATGAGGAAAACATAACTTATTTAGAAGTAAAAATCTATTTACATATATTTCTCTTTACCTGAAAACACACCAGGCAAATAGAACCAGATATATTCAAATATGTATTTTACATTCTTTCTGAAATTGAGGGAAATGTAAATATGTCAGTGATACATTTTGATCCATGAAAACTTAAGTATGTCCTGAGAATTTATTAAAACCCAAGAATAAAGAAAGTATTCGATGAACACCAAAATTTAAAAAAAGCAGATCAACTAAACTGTTGGAAAGGGAGAATTGCAGGGCAATTTTGGAAATGTTTCCATGGCACTGATGACCACACCCAGGGCCTTGTGCTCTACTGAAAAGCAACACCATCATCCCCAACATCTGAAATTCTACGTGCAGTGTTCAATGCCACACAGAAGGGTTACAATGACTAAGGACTTCCAAGAGAACACAACTATGGATTCCAAACTTCATAGCACCCAAATTTTATGGCAAGATGTTATCCACAATTAAGCAAGACTTGATGAATGTGGTACTCATGAATATGGAAAGATGGCTTGATGATAAGACCAATCAACAACGAGATAATTGAAAAAAAAAAAAACGTCAAGAATGAGGAAAAGTTGTATTCGATGATAGACAGGAATGTAAATACAGAACGCAGGCACCTGGAAGAGTAGAAAACAACCTCGATACTACAGAAGGCACTGTGAGGAGAAATAGTAGAAAATTAAGAATGCCATGATATGTCTTCTAAGATTAATACATAGGGGAAGATGCAGTCATGTTAGCAACCGATGACGGAGTTTTGTATTTGTCACTCTTTATCAGGAAGTTGAATTGTTCAATGTCTGCAACCTAAATAAAAAAAAGTTTATTTTGGTTTATGGTTTCCAAGGACTCAGTTCATATAAGATCAACTGGCTATGATCTCTGAAGCAGTGGGAATATTACTTCTTATATTATTACTTACATTTCCCATTCTGGTTTCCTTTCTTTTCAGTTTTAAAATCTGGAAAGAAGCATTCTGTCTCACCCGCTTAAATCAGAAGTCCATTTTGAAGCAATCAATAGTGGCAGCAAACAGCTGAATAGAGAGACTGATTTTATCAACCCAAGTGCCATGTACCTCACGGAGCCCCTCAATGATGGTCTGGGAGTCATGACAGCGGTGAGGTGAGCAGAGAAGATGCATAGAAGAAAAAGGGACAGGGACCAGAAGTTTAGATCACACTTGTCTCAAATATAACCGGAGCCAGCACTTGTACCTTTCTCCAGGTCCTGCAGTTAGTAATGTGTGTGGAAGTGCCAGGGACTTCAGAACACTTTTGTCATCAGGCAAAGAGGATGAAACACCCAGTGCTCCATCAGCCCGGGTCCCTCGCATCTGCTCAGCCTAGGATAGATGGGTGCCATGAGAAATCTACCTTGGTTGTGCTGGGCCACTGAGATTCAATGACATTTTGTCACCACAATATCCTGCAGTCCCCTGCCCTGTTTGGAGCAGGGTCTGCAGCCCATGTGCAACATGTTTGGTTCAAGGGTGATGCATCTGGGTGGGGGTGGGAACTCAGGGGAGGACTGTGAGATTTTAAAAAAGAATGTGTTGTCCTTAAGTTTTCATACTTCTGACAGCCTGAACTAGGACACAGAGCACAGCCTCATTCTAAGCCACAGCTGAATAGGGACAGAGAGTCTTGCACAAGCCAGGTGAAGTCTGGTGTCCTGGAGCTGCAGAAACATCCGGTACCACTAGTGCAGGCAGAGCTGTCTCTGGCTCCTAGGATGCTGTTCCCATTCCTGTAGCCCATTCTGCCTCTGGAAATTCAGCTCTTCTGTAGCTGTGATCACAGTCAATGACCTGCAAAGGTTTCTTTATTAAGAACCTGGATGCATTTGGGGATTGAAAAGGCAAAAGGGCACCTCACTGCAGTGAAAATGTGAGGCTGGGCTAATTTAACCCAGGCAAGGCCACCGCAGGCCAGGGTTTCTGAGGCTTCCTTCACGTCCCATGTGTGCTTTTGGGTTCTGAACCGTCTGCCAGCAACTCTGAGTCAGACCTGTCTCACTGCAGAGCTCCAGCCCCAGGGAGCAAGGAGCTTATAAAGCAAGGAAAAGGCCAGGTTTTGACATGAGACAGCTGTGTGTGAAGGGGAACGTGAGCAAAGGTGAAGTGAGTAAAGATCCCAAGTCCCAGAGAGGCCAAAGGAACAGTGAGAAATGGGAAGAGTTCCTTGCATAAAGGTGGAAGAAGCGACTCCATTGGCAGAAGCCCACCGATTTGTTTAGACTGTCTTATACAATGGGCGCATTACATACATTAAAGTACTTAGCAGCAAATCCCGTAATTATCTTCTTTTAATACTATCCATTAACTGGGCTTCTCTCCTGCTCTAAAATGTAACCTGAAAAGTGACCAAGGGTCTTTAGGAAATCAGAGAGAATAAATATGACCGTTTGAGGTAACTGATCATTTTTAATACATGAAAGGAGCAAATGAAAATGAAAGCAAAGATTGCAGGCTATAGTTCAGTAGACTTGGGACTGATGATATGGCTTGAAAATATTTAAGTATTATGAAAGAAAATGATTTGTCAACGTTACTGGTCAATAAAGTACCTCATTAGTTTACATTTCCCAAAAATTGAGTTTGAATGTTGTACAATTTCTGATTCTTGTAATTACACTGAAAGCAAGGCTTTTTTTCCTTCTCCATCCTGGGGATTAAAAGTTTGGTAACATAAAATTTCCAAAAATATAAAATTGTGACTCTCAAGTGAATAAAATTATATGAACCTACAGTCAGAAGTTTATTAAAGCAAAATTTCCGGAAAGGCAAAACTAATTCCTGTGAAAATATTAAATAAGTATTTGTCTAATATTTTATTCAAATTATACATGAAACAGTAAGATGGTAAACTCACTTAAAAGAAAACTCAGTAATTCCAAATAGGGTACTAAGTTATAAAGATTTAGAATTCATATATTCTTTTCCACCAGAGAGGTTATTTGTATCTCTGTGGAACAAAAACCTGCAAGTTAATCTCTGTCCCACAGCAGTTATAAATAGCCCATTCCATAGAAAATCATGCCCAGAATTGCACTGAAAGAATCTCTAAATAATCTCTTGTGGCTACTTCCAAATTCAGATAATTTTTCTAATAAGCCAAATTATGTCTTACAAGTGTAAGTTTCTGGTGATATTATTTAATTTTTAGAAAAAAGTCTATCATTTTTATTTCACTCATGTACAGTTTCTATATATTTTTCAGATGAACAATTTAAATGTCTTTCATTGTGTCTGAGATAAATATTAGAATTTTGTAAGAGTATATAAATGAATCAACACCAAAGTATTTTATTAAATATAATATTATGCATATTTAAAAGTACAATGAGCAGACTGTTACACAAGTCCAGAGATTATAAATCTTCTAAGAATAAGTCTGGAATGTTTTAAATTTTAATGAGCTTTGTCAGTCATTAATAAACTAAATATGAATGCTATGAAGACAACTTTAAACATAACTGTTGAGTCTCACAGCAAGCAAAGAAATTGAATCAAAAATTTTTTGAAAGTTAAATTTCTTCTTAGAACTTATATGCTGGAATTCATATTTTAGAATTTATAAACACAGGAGAAATGGATAATGATGGCAGCAAATACATGTACGCACACAAACAAAAACACAACCCAATCAAAGTCCTGACTAATCAATTGTTTTCTTTTTCATGGATAAAAGCAATAACCATTTTCAGAAATAACATGTCTACAAAAACACATATGTTTAATTTCTAATTTTTTATTACAGGTTTAAAATATACTTTTATTTTCATATCCACAGCTTAAAGAAAATTAATCACATAAGCTTTTGCATGTCCACCATAATAAACAATATTATTTTAAATCTGTTATGTTATAAATAAACCACATAATATGCCCATGTGAACCACATCAGAGCAAAATCTGCCTGTATTTGAAATGCATGAAGTATCCTCATTGTTGCAATTAGGAAAGAGTGATACCTATTTGAATTAAAAATTTGGCTTTCAGCTACCCATTATTCAAAAATAATACAGCAGGAATCATCTGCTGATTTTAGAAGGAGTGCATTGAGCAGTAGTTAATGTAGCAAAGCTGAACATGTGTTCCCGGACTTTTCATTCAGCATTCAGCACTCAGCGTGCTGGCAGAGCTGGAGAGAGCACATTCAGACACGCGGATGGGCGCACCAGGCTGCCCAGACGCACAACTCAGGACCACACTAACGCTGGCTTCGGAGGGCACTCACTCCCACCCTCACCTGCCATTGGGGTCATAAATTTCCATTCAGATGGTAAATTCTGTCAAAAGTACATGAAAATGGAAGTGCGTCATCACAGTAAAACAAGACAGAAAGGCAACTTGCCAGAAAGGTACAGCAAGTCAGTGGCTTAGTCAAAGTAGAAGCAGGACCCCAAATCTTTTTTAATTTTCATTAAGACAATAAGTGATGAAAGGATATTCAGAAATGGAGATAAAAAAGGGGACTCGAGAGAGTCAAAAAACAGTATGAATTTTCAGGACAGAGAGAAGCTTGGGGGCACAAAAGGAAATGTCAAAGAATGGTCCAAAGATCAGTTTCGAGGACGAAGGAAGAAAATGCAGATGCTACATGTGGTCACTGAATGTGAGTTTAGATACCTCTAAATGTGAATTTAGAAGTCACAGCAGGTGATCAAATCATGCCTCTCTCCTTGGTCTTGTACACAGCATGCTAATTAAACAACTGGATCCATGCATTGGTGCAAACTGGCATCTATGCATAGAATCTAGCTTGTGTTGTGCTGTCTTCAATATCCCTTGATATTGATTTACTCTTAATCAGAGAGAATATGGTGCCCATTAGAAAATCACACAGACTGAGAGAAGAGAGAGTATTATGAATATTCATAGTTTATATTCTGAAATTTTCATGCAGAGAAAAAGTCAGCTGTTAAATAAGGGATAAGATGGAAGATGGAGAGAGAGACATGATGATTTATTCCAAATTTGAAAGCTCGACGTGAAAATTCATGCCATCGACAAATTTAGACTCTTTGTCTCCCAGGGACACAAAGGTCCAACAGTGAACATTATATCAAAAGTCCTTCCACCATTATTTAGAAGTCAATGCAAGAAGATTACGGAGAACTATTTAAAGCTTAATATTGTTGGAATTCGCTGCTTTAGCTCTAGTCATGTACCCTCCTTGGAAAGAACTGAACAGTTAAGTTTTAATTTATTTTATTTGTACTTCCAATATCGGCTGTAATAAACACAGTGAATATGTGAACATACTGCTACATGTGGGCATTATCAACTAAATCAGAGTAAATATAATTACACAGAACAAATCCACTATTATTAAGTATACAGAATTATAGTATATTTCTGTAAAACAATAAAATTTTTTTAAGCATCCATAAAAGACACTCCATAAGTTCATTTTCAAACAGGCAAATTCTTACCTTTGAATTAATTTCTAAACTGCTAGACAAAAAATTTGATCAAATAGAGTAAATAAACTAATAAATATATAAATTGTTAAACACATGTTTTTATATTGACAATAAGATAAATCTTACTCTCAGAGATGGATGATAATCTGTAGACACTTCAGAAATTATGCTGGTGATTTTATAATTAATCCACTATTTGTATTTGGAAAGTGCTGTAGGTGCCGGCAGTTTTCTGAACAATCCAGTGTAGACTCACCTCTGGGTAATGCTGCATCTGGGAAGTTTTAACAATCAGCAACAGAAGAAAGTCACAAACCACTCCCACTAGAGTTGGTCAGATCCATCAAAACAGTCTAAAATGTGGTTTATTGAAAGTCAGTACCTCTGGTTTATTCTGCTCCACTAAATGGCAATTACTGTTAAAAGCTAGGTAGAAGGACTAGAATTATTCTACAATCAGAGGCTGAGACACATTGTGATATTAGAGAAAAATACAAATATATATTCTGAGCAGCCCATTTTTTAAATCCTTTATATGTCTGCGTACAGTGTTCAGATCCATTAGGTCTACGTGGTTGAGTTCACTGATTTCATGCCTTCACCTGCACTGCCTCACGCCTGGAAGGCTGTGTGGTCCGTGCTGCCTGAATGGACCTAGCACTCTGGCCTTTTCATTCATTCATGGGTAGCACCTGGATCCCATGGGCATTGATGTAGGTGATGAGGATTCTGGCTCTCTGTTCTATTACGTCGATCAGCTTTTCAATCCCTTGCCTCCCTCCTTGGCTTTCCCAGTAAACCTTATCCAGGAACAGAGACTGCAGGAGTTTCTGTCGTAAGTGCTGGCTCTTCAAAACAGAAATTGCAGATTCGGGAAACCTGTAAAGACAACGCGATATTTCACTCTTAGTAACCGCCTGGAAATATCATGCCTTCCTCAGTTGCTGAATCCTTCATAAATCCTGCCATCGGATGGCACCTTGGGAATCAAAGCACGTTCCTCACCGCCAAGTTAACACTTCTCTTAATAATGATACACTCAAAGCGTGTGTTTTAAGGAAACTGAATTTTTTAACCACGTAGAATTTGACATACTAACATTTTATTTAAAGTCCTGATAAAAACGCAGGCCAAGAGAAGAATGGGGACTGGGATTCTACTAGATCAGCAGGAATAGTGCTGAGCTCTTCCATCCATCACAAACCACTTAATCCATCCCCTAGAATCATAGCTTCCTAAGTGTCAAGGTAGAGCTGTAAGCAAGAAATCGTGAAAAGTAAAAAGCTGACAGCTTCACTAAAGCACTTTCCCTAAATAGAAGTTACACAACTGAATTTTGAATGACACATACTTCTTACATACATAAATGTATGTAAGAAAGGGAGAAAGGAATCATTCAAAAATACCCAATTAGAGAAAGAAGTGGCTTTGATTCGGTCATACTCCTACAATTCCAATGATTGAGTTTTAGTTCAGCAGAGTATGAATGAGGTTGAGCCAGAGTTCGCATCTGGCATATTCTCCAGAGCCTCGTGTGTCAGGCTTGCTCCTGGGCTGGCTGGTGGGCTCAGAAGGCGGTGGGATTTTAAAAGTGGGACCCATTGGAGGTTTAGCTCACTAGGGGTGGAATGAGCTGAAAGGGGACTGAGGCCTGACCGCTTCCTCTCTTCCAAAGTCTTTGAATTCCTCCTCCTGTCCTCCTCCACATTGTGCACTGAGATCACAGCTCCAAAGCAAAGGAGCTAACTGGCCATGGATTCACCCTTCCAAACCTTCCTTCTTTCTAAGTTTATCATCTTCAGAATTTGTTACAGTAAGGAAAGGTAACTATCACAACCTGTTTTCAAATAAATTTAACAAAATTCAAGTTTGAGAGCTAGGGAACTCTAGTGAGGACACTAGTGTAGAAAACCTAGAAAATACTTAGAAGAGCCCTTGCCGAATACCTTCAGGGAGTACATCATTCTTTATTCTCTTCAGTTAGAAAGTACGAAGCCAGGGGCCTATGATCTACATTATGGCAGGAACTTAGCAAAATTTTTCATTCAAAATTATAAGCAATATTTTACTGACCCTCCCACCAGGTGGTCTCTCTCTACTGTCACATAAATTCTAAGGAAAGCATTGTAGCACTATTGGGTCTGACAGTCATTTTCAAGCAAACTCAGCACACCAAGAGTACACACTTACCTATAGCATGCACACTGCCAGAATTCAGGCCTTCTAGGCATAAATTTCCAAATTCCTACTGATAGGTCACAGTGGGGACAGCACACAGAACACAGATGAGGGCCTAGGACTTAGGGGCTCTGACCCCACTCTACCCCACTAAGCCCCAAGGTAACAGAGCTGGACCTGCCAGGAGTCTGGGAAGTATAGAATTAACAGTGCTTAAGGGTGTTTTCAGCACTCTGAAGATGTGTGCTGTATACTCTAAAGGACTGCAGTATTATTAGTAGTATTTTTGCTCCATAATATCTTAATAACCCATAATTCATACATTCTATAGCCCTGCCACTAACTTAGCTGTGTCAGAATGTATGAAATGAAAAGTCTCTTCAGTCACTAATCCTTTTATACAAAGGAAAACAAAGCATTACTAGCCTTTGCACTGCAGTGCTTAGTAAGAATACTTAAAGCATAAATCTGAGATTAACCAAGTCTCCACTTCTGCTTTTCAATGTGAATTATATATTCAAAAGGATATTTAACTTTAAACCCATTACTCCTCATAATGTACTTAAAGCTAAATCCTCTTTGAAAGCATAAATAAGAATATTCATATTTATATGAATGTTTGAAATGGACAGACCTTTTTTTCCATGCTCTCTTAACTCTGCAAGGAAATTTCAGGCCCTTATAATATCAACTATATCTTGGGAATATAGATTTTTCTATATGCAAAATTTCCTTAGCTTAGACACACAAAAGACAGAGTGTGCCACACATTCTGCCTTCAATCCACAAAGAGATGTGAAGAGGGGGTTATCAACAGGGCAGGGCATGCCAGAAATTCTCATGGAAATGATAGTGCTTCTAATGGAATGAAGTACATCAAATCCTTCTTACTGAAGCCATAGAGTTTAGGGATAGAAATTCTACATGCTTCAGAGTAGAATCTGCAAGGCTTTTGGGCGGTTTTGTTTTGCCATCCTGGGAACAGATGGCCTTGTACACACTGCATGCCCCACTTTATTAAGAAGTGGGCCTAGACTGGCCTAAAAAGCATGATCCTCTTGCCTCAGCCTCCCAAGTAACTAAAATTAGATGCATGCACCAACAAACTAAGCTGAGCACAATATTGGGCTTGTTGTTACACTTTGCCACAGAACTCATTTGCTATTTTACTATACACCCCTGTATCTCAAATCTCAAACACCCCCAATGTCTTAGTCAGTCTCACTTCTGAGCAAGATAGAAGTACGTATATGTAGAGTAGCCCCACGCACTCTATGGTGAGGTCGGAAAGCTAGCTACAATTTCCCTAGCTAGGGTTAAGGAGTTCAGACATTACAGAGGGTTCCTGCCACTACTAAGTGTTACCACTGCCTTTATTTCCAAATAGATGTAAGACCAAGTGTGCCGTGTTGTGTTTTAACTTCTGCATCACAAATCTCCTCTCTGTTCCACACACATCCCTTTTCCACTCTGTATTCATCCTAACTACAGAAATGTCTGAGTTCTCCCTTTAATTCTTGATCAATCCGGTGCAGAGCAATAACCCCCCTCCAACTTTCATCAGCTCCCTTTTCTCGGTGTTAGATGCTTTTCCCCTTAAACTATGGCTACTAGCAGACTAACCATGCACTCAAAGGCCAACCTACTTGACTTAAATAGCCAACTGTACCTTGATTCTGTGACTACTCAAAAGACAGCTTTCATTTTTCATGACATTCATGAAAGTCATTCAAGTTTACCCAGGAATTTGCATACTCTGTCAGGTTGCTATCTGACTATTTGTCTCCATCACCTTCTGGCCTGGGCCCTAATAGCAGAGCCTTTGCTGGTCACATCTCACTGCCCTGTCTGCTCCTGTTCCCAAGCTCCCTGTATTCTTCCACGCTAATCTTTCTGAATTTCCACCAAGAAAGCCAAGGAACACCATGCATGTCAGACAGAGCGAGCTCCTATTTCTGGCGTGGGTTGTCACGCAATGCTCTGCTGTGTTTTGCTTCTTTGGATCTCTGCTCCCAGATTCACATGCATAATTCCTTTCAAGTGTTAAACTGATCTGACTCTGGGTGTGAGATTTCTCAGAATCCTACAACCTACTTGACATAAGTGGAAGCAGCCCGGAAGATGTTACTCCCTCATCAAACTTACTCTTTGATGCCCTCTAACAATTTGAAGTTTAAGTTATCTTCACTCCTGTCAAAGAAACCCTTATTGTCGATGAAGACCAAATGGCGTGGGTCATGCTTTCGCTGGATGATGTGCGCCAGCCTTGCAGAATTTTGGTCATCACACTTTGGCCTCTGTCCATTCTGGACGCAGGCATCTTCCTTGCGAGGTCTAAATCCGCAGCAATGTGGGTCTAATCGATTATAAATCTGCAAATAGAAAACAAAAGAAAGATTGGAAATGCTGTGTGAAAACAAACATGGGGAAGGTTAGGAGATCTCTAAAGAGCTGAGGCTTTCTCAACATCTCTTTCGCCAACAGCCTGTAATTAAAAGCAACTGTCAGAGCGATTCCAAGGTTCCCGCCTTCTGACTCACCCGTTCCTCCAAACACTGCCAGCTTCCTTGTAACAGCACCACAGACAGATAATCCAAGTCAAGGACCTCCGCCCTTAGATTTAGAGTTCCCACTGACATCACCTGCAGACACACGGTCAGCAGAATCCCTGACTCCATTCCGGAAAGAAAAGACACTGTCGCACTGTCCCAGTGTGTTGTGTCGCATAACTAAGGTTAGTCAAAGACTGAACATCTATAATAAAATTCAGCGCAGCACTAGATAAACACCAGCACTTTTATTCCTTTTGCATTCGGTTCCCATGAAAGACTCTTCTTATGTTGTTGCAGACCCTAGTCACTCCAGGCTACTGGCTCAAAAAGAAAAACAGCAAGGCAATAACAAAATTAACCTACATTGATCATTCATTCATTCAGCCAACAAACTAACTGAACATCATTTACATCCTATCAGTGGGTTGGCACCGAAGCAAACAGTCCCCATGGCCAGGGCCAACCCACTATTACTGCCCACAGGGAAATGAACTGGATGTTTCATTATGCCATGTTACCACAGCACACTTCAGTCACCTGCCAAGGACCTTGCTCTTTGTTTTCCACATGTGGATAAACTCCCTATCAAACAGCATGCTCTGAGAGCAGAGACTGTAAGAGATGTTAATGGAGGGCAACATTCTATGAAGTCTATGTAAAGCTCATCGGAGAGCGCAGGTACTGAGCAACCAAGTACTTGCATAAATCCCCTGATGCACAGGCAGTGTAGAAACAGAATGAATTGTCAGGATTGGCTCTAGGCAACCCCTCTATGAAGCCATACACCTACCCATCGTTTACCCAAAAGGTCACGGTACCTACTCTCACAGTATGCCATTTACCATAAAATTCATTCACACACAGAAAACAGAGACAACGGTCATGTGTCAGTTCTTGATGTTTGTTGAGTTAGCATAACTAAATTAAATTAAATGACTACCCAGGGAACAGTAAGTTATCACTGCCGACTAAAGTGTGATTGTTTGACAGAGCAGAGGAAGGCTTTCCACTGGTAAGCGAGAGAGTAACACGCAAAGCTCTAACTTTTGGAAAGGTATCTAGAATAAATAAAGCAAGAATAAAAACTATTAGAAAAATGTACTGAGCCCTTTCTCCTCAAACAACTTCATTTTACATAGCACCTGCATGGCCTTTGGATATGAGAGTTAATGGTGTACAAGAGGCAGCATCTGACCGCTCATTATTTAAGTTAAGGTTGGGGAGAACATGAAAAGTAGTGTTTCTACAAGTGACCATCCCTTCCTTTTTTAGATATCAGCTAATTATAATCCCCAAAGAATCTCCATCTTTTCCATTACAGTAACTTTGCATTCAATTTATTGACACCTACATAAGAGGGAAAAGGATAAATCCTTTTAATTTAGATGACAGCATCAACAATTATATCAAACATATGTACTTAGGATCTAATTCATAAGGGCAAATCCAACTTTAAGCTCCTTCGTTGTGACTTCATATTGGTGTAGAAAAGTCTAATACAGAGCTACATTTTATTATTTCTACCACATAGCTGTGTTCTTCAATTTCCTGTCACTAAAACAAATATCTAAGATAATCAACCCATAAAAAGATGTTCACAGTTCGAGAAGTTTCAGTCCTTGAGCAGATGGCACAGTTGCTTTGGGCCTGTGGTAGCGTATCCTGGAGGAAGCACATGGTGGAACAACACATTCTTTTCATGGCCAGGAAGTAACTAAGAGGACAAGGAAGGAGTGGGGGTCTCAGCATCCCCTGCTAGGCCGCACTCCTAGTGACCTCACTTCTCCCATAAGACCACACCTTTTAGAGGTTCCACTGCCTCCCAATAGCATGCCAGACTGCAGATCACACTGGGAAATACTGCATATCCAAACTATATCTAAAGCTATGCTAAATAATAAACTCTCTAGTGTTTGAGTCCTAACTTTCAATACTTCTCTAAATATTATATGAAAACTTTAAAAGAGCAGAAAAGCATAATGTGAGTAATGTTTTTATTGCCTTACCAACCTTAAACTCTTTCCCACAGCATATCTTTAAAGCGCTCAGCCTGGTCTAATTTTGAATCACGCAACAGTCTGATGATTTCAGTGGTTCCCTGACAGACACTATTCTGGAAAAAGGGCATCTGTACTCAGCTTTGTTTCTTAACTAGAAAATGGTGCCACTCATTTTGTTCAGATCTGTGCAAGTACTTGACATATTATCAGATGTAGAGTGTGTATACCCATATGTGCACAAGAGTGCATGTGTGTCTACACCTAGAGAGGAAGTATCATACTGCAAGGCCTTAAATAGTCTATTTCCTTTGTTGTCCTTATTCTCAGCTACAGCAGATTACATCTTTATGTTCTTTCCCTTCTCTAGCGAGAGCCACCTCTTAAATTATGCTAAATTTCAGAATTTTGTTTTTCTTCCTTCTGAATTCTCATTAAATAAACCAAAAATAATCTGATTACAAAACTATAACCCACTGCCTTAAATTCAGCTCCATTTTGCTTGGTGGTTGATTTAATTATTATATGTTGACTATGTTTCTGCTTATTATTAAGACAGCATTTTTAAAAGCCTAATAAAATATATTCTCTTAGCTATAAATCCATAATATGGTTTTAACGTACTTAGTGCACACATTAAAACAATCACATTGTTTAACTATTCCGTGATTAAACCCTGGAGCCCACAGGCTCATGTCTGTGTCTGTAGGTAGTTATTCGACAGCAAAGTCTACTTGGGGATAAATTTTGTTTTTTAAGCACCTGGGAACATTAACCCGCATTGGTGCTACTTGCTTGAATTTGTATCTCTTCATTCTTTAAAACAAGACAAAATATTTTTTCTTTCCAAAATGAATCCTCTGCATCTGAAGAGGACAGCCAGTGACCATTTGCCACAAAGTCACTCTCCCCTCTTATAGGAAAACACATCTTTTCGGTGTTCACCTAATTAAAGTTACACACAGCAAATCCAGCTATTCCAGACACATTTTTAGCGGCTGTTGTTTTTGGTAGTGCTATATTTCCACATATTTTTCCATCCAAAGGATTTTCTTTATGTTCTGTTGTCCCTTGGCAGTGCCAGCGCTGCCAGTGTGGAGAAGAGGCTCGTAAGTAACTCATAACAGGTCACCACGTTTAAAGGTAGGCACCTTCACTCCATGGACTTGGCTCTCCAGAACTGTTAAAAACCTGCAGTTGCTCTCCACACATAGGTGCACCACCCAGGCGAGCTGTCTCAGAGTGCTTGAGTTACTGCCTTTGTATTTTCTTTTTCCTCAAAACAATGTGGTTAAAAAAGCTACTTCTGGCAATGTGTGAATGAAAACAGTAAACATATATTCAGTATACTACTAGCATTAATAATAACCTCCATACAGCAGGTGCTTAGTACTTACAACTGCACCCTTTATGCTTCCCCTGCCTTATCTCACTTAATCTCATGAGCCTTCAGGGATAGGTGTTAGCAACAGTTCCCTTTGATCAATGAGGACACTGAGGAATAAGGAAGCCGGCTGAGCTCCCCTCAGCAAATACCAGGTGTTCAGGAACTCCAGGTGCAAGCTTTCATCCATCCGTGTAGGATTTTTCAGTTGTGCCTTCCAAGAAATATTGGGTGAAAAGCAACTACATGCATACACAATGCAAAGCAATATGACATTCAACTTGTATTGATTATAAGGTTTTTAGCAGAAATACAATGGACTTTGGTAGAGGAGTTCAGGGAAAAGCTCACAAAAGAGAGGACATCACAGCTGCCTGATCAGAGCCAGGCAGGATTACCTGGAAAACGGTGAAGGCACAAAGGCAGGAAACCCAGAGACACTGGCAGAGGAACGGAGAGTGTGTTAGACCGGCACTTCCCCGGGTGGACTACTTCTTTGATTTTAACAATTAGTAACAAAAATAAATATTTAGGACAATGAATTGCTTAAAAATATAAAATTCTAGACAAATATTTTGCTTGGTTCAGCAAAGTCACTGTACCAAAATGGAACTGAGTTTCTAAGTGCTTGGTTTTTTATGTTTGTATGTTGCTTTTTGTCTTTTTTGAGACAGGGTCTGGCTATGCAGTTCAGGCTGGCCTTGGGCTCACTTTGTAGCCCAGGCTGGTCTCTGACTTGTCACAATCCACCTGCCTTAGCCTCCCAAATGCTGGGATTACAGGCAAGCACCACCACGTCCTGCTTTAAGCGCGTGTTTGTTAATGTTCATTGGCTTCTCAGCAGGAACTGCTGTGTGTGGCTCAGGTGCCACACACACACAGGTGTCGCGCTGCTGGTGAGGAACGGGAACCTGCATAGTGGAGGCAGGTGGAGCCAGAGGTGTACAAGAAAACCATGACTACAGGGGTAACCTAAAACCAGGTGTGCCTGCACGTTTCCTCGCAGAAGGTATCAGGCAGACGTGAAGGGCGGGAAACGGACTTTGAGGATGTTCTTCCTAACATAGACAGGACATTCTCTTGTCCAGATGCTTCCCTCATTCTGTCCTAGTAGAGCAGATGACCTGGAAGCTGACTGCCTCCTCGGGGTCTGAGTGGGTGTACACTTGTGGCTGGAGGTGCATCCAAGTCCACATTGGAAAGTCAGGTTCTTGAGATTCACATCACCTCTTTTCAGATTATCTTTGCCACTTTTAAAGCTGCACATTAAGAAAAAAAACTGCACTTTTAAGCACTGAATCAGAGCAGACAGCATAAAAGCTCCATCAAACTAGCGTATGGTAGGCGCTCAACAAATGAACTTTGCTGGAAGTCGGTAGTCATTTAGTACTGAGTATTTACAAAACTTCTCCAAAGAATTGCTTGGTATTGGGAAGAAT